TGGCGGGGGCATCATGTGTACCGGGAAGTCCGTCCAGAGGGTCCTGCCAGGGTCGTTGCTGTCGTCCTCGTCTCAGCGTCTTGGTCGGCGTACCGGAGGGCGATGACGATGCAGACGCAGAGTGCGGACCTGTGTGCTGTGCGTGTAGGGGGGGCGACAGGGGGCGGGGGGGGAGTAGGGCTTACCCAGAGATGAGTAGGATGGCTGCGACGGGGGGACATACCCGGCGCTGGCGATGTCGACGTGGTTGTGCGAGGAAGTCAGTATGCTTGTGTGACCCGCCTTGGTGTGTGCGTGTGTTGATCGTCACCATGCTGGTGACGGGGAAGACCTTGGCGATGAAGGGACGCCGAAGACCTTGGCGATGAAGGGGACGGGGAAAACCTTGGCGATGAAGGGGACGGGGAAGACCTTGGCGATGAAGGGGACGCCGGTTCGCCTGTACGCCATGCGTCACCCCCCGAAGCTTTACGGGTTGCAACGTCTACAGCAAATACTCAAGGCACCTCCGCTGGATAACACACGAAGGTGAAGAGTAGAGATATGAAGTATATTTGATAACACGAGCGCAGTATCGACCCGTGGCACATACAGCAAGGGGGAGGACAGACCACCTGAGCAGTTGTTGACGACCCTGTTATGGTCAAGGGGAAGCACCAGGGGTGGTGAGGCTCCTCACGCACGAGCGAGCATCTCTCGTGCGATCGCTTAGATCTGTAGCCTGCTCCTCCTCGAGGGTCAGCCAATCGTACCCTATCGTCCTTCGGCGGCGGTCACAGCGACATCGCTGGGATGGCGCGGGGGTCTGGTGCTGCGCGCAGTGAAGTGAAGGTATCAGCAGTAGGCAGGATGAGGAGACTAACTTAGAGTGAAAGGACCCTTAGTCGAAGTCAGTCTCAGTGAATGAGCGGACCGGAGGGGTGATAAGAGCCGGGGCCCGACTGACTGACCCACAAACTTTCATCTTCCCGCCATTTCTCTACGGTCGTAACTTCATCACACCACCCCACCCACCCACCCTCTTCCTAGCACTTTACCATCTAGTACCCTACCCCCTCCATACCATCCACTGACTAGCCTGAGTGATCTCTGCGGCTGAATGTCAGTCGGCAGGTCTGTAGGACCCCACCCCGTGTGACTCCTGTGATCCCCCTACTCCACCCCCTCTCTCACCATACGGGTGGTCTGAGTGGGATGCCCCTGCAGGAGCACGGGAGGGTGGGGTAGTCAGGTAGGCTTCTTCCCGCCTTTTTCTTCCCTCCCCTCCTACCCCCTGCCTTGCTACCCCTACCCCTCCCGCCTTCCGTCCTCCACCCGACGACGGCATGTTCGCGCTGCCCTGGACGGGAGACATGGCGAGAAGCTCCTCCAGCCCCTGCCGCGCTCGCAGCAAGAGACCGAGGGTCGAGGCCTCCGCAGGAGGAGGAGGAGCCGTCAAGGCATGGCCGCCTGCCGACACTGAGGAGGGAGAGGAAGGCAGGATACGGGAGGGAGCCGAGAGAGGGTCATGCAAGGAGAAGCGCAAAGAAGAGAAGAGCCAGGAGAGAGAGAGTGGGAGCGTCTGCCCCCACGGCCGTATACGATCTCGATGCAAGGAGTGCGGGGGAGCCAGCATCTGCCCCCACGGCCGTATACGAGGTACATGTAAGGAGTGCGGGAGAGCCAGCGTCTGCCCCCACGGCCGCAAGCGATCTGAGTGCAAGGAGTGCGGGGGAGCCAGCATCTGCCCCCACGGCCGTAGGCGATCTCGATGCAAGGAGTGCGGGGGATCCAGCATCTGCCCCCACGGCCGTATACGATCTGGATGCAAGGAGTGCGGGGGAGCCAGCATCTGCCCCCACGGCCGTAGGCGATCTCAATGTAAGGAGTGCGGGGGAGGCAGCATCTGCCCCCACGGCCGGAGGCGATCTACATGCAAGGAGTGCGGGGGAGGCAGCGTCTGCCCCCACGGCCGGAGGCGATCTGAATGCAAGGAGTGCGGGGGAGCCAGCGTCTGCCCCCACGGCCGCATCTGCCCCCACGGCCGTCAGAAAGCTGGAGGCCGGAGGCGATCTACATGCAAGGAGTGCGGGGGAGCCAGCATCTGCCCCCACGGCCGGAGGCGATCTACATGCAAGGAGTGCGGGGGAGGCAGCATCTGCCCCCACGGCCGCATACGATCTCAATGCAAGGAGTGCGGGGGAGGCAGCATCTGCCCCCACGGCCGTATACGATCTGGATGCAAGGAGTGCGGGGGGAGGCAGCATCTGCCCCCACGGCCGTATACTATCTCAATGCAAGGAGTGCGGGGGAGGCAGCATCTGCCCCCACGGCCGCATACGATCTCGATGCAAGGAGTGCAGGGGAGCCAGCATCTGCCCCCACGGCCGTAGACGAGGTACATGCAAGGAGTGCGGGGGAGCCAGCGTCTGCCCCCACGGCCGGAGGCGATCTACATGCAAGGAGTGCGGGGGATCCAGCATCTGCCCCCACGGCCGTATACGATATGGATGCAAGGAGTGCGGGGGAGGCAGCGTCTGCGTCCACGGCCGCAGACGGTCTCAATGCAAGGAGTGCGGGGGAGGCAGCGTCTGCGTCCACGGCCGCAGACGGTCTCAATGCAAGGAGTGTATCGCTGTGTCTGCGCTAGTATCTGGCGCGTGTGCGCAATGATCTGTCATGTACGTACAGGCTCTCACAACCCGGGCTCTTTAGACGGATCACTTGGCTGCAACTGGTCAGGTCTGCTGTCCTCACGCTCGTGGCAGGAGGTCGCACCACGAGGGCAGGTCAACATTCTTACCATCTTCCAGACCAAGTATCAAGAGGATCATCGGAGGAGCTTCGATGGTGAACCATCCGTGTTGTCCGCACTCCTAGAGTCCACGTGACAGAAAGAGACCTCCATGATCTGACGAGCAGCAGTAGCCTGCCCTGCTTGATACGGTCTAGTAAAAGCAAGTCCTGATTGATCTATCTTGTTTCTCCAAGGATGCGCGTGCAACATCACTCTCTGCTTCACCAGAGGCTCCTCTTGCTGCTGCTGCCCTTTGCGCGGTGTGTGCGACAGGCTCTCTTTTCTTTTCTCTTGTCTCTCTGTCTCTCTGTCTCTCTGCCTCATTGTCTGTGCTTCTTGTTGTCTTGGTGGTAGGTGTAAGTCGTACGCACGTCAGATCCGATCCCTACTTCCACCCTGATCACGTACGGTATGATTTCACTGTCTTCAAAGGTCAAGAGAGGGTGGGGTAGTCGGGTAGAGGAGATCCACAAACTTCCTTCTTCCCGTCTTTTTGCACAAGTCCAACCCCAGCGACTCTGAAATGGGGGGAGCGAGTTCATCGCTGAGGCTGGTAGGCGCGCTGCCATCGGACGTGCATGGGATGATGTACGAGCACCTGATCTCTCCGCGCAACCTTGTGTGGACCATGGACGATGCTGCGGTGACCGCGGGGATGCTGATCTCGGTGTGCAAGGATGTGCGGGAGGGCTTTGCCCGTGGGCTATGGGCGAGGCTGAGGAGTGTGTTGCCTTGTCCTCGGGGGCAGCAGCACGGAGTTGTGGATATGAGGGGGTTTATCCGTGAGGTCGGGATCAAGCGGGTCCGTGGAGGGTCCTCTCTTGATGAGAGGGTTGTGTCGTATTTCGAGGAGAGGCCCGATATGCTGATGAACCCGATCCATCCACTGCAGCGGAGGGTGACGACGTGCGGGGAGAAGATGTTCTACTGGAGGGCGAGGAGGACGTTCAAGCTGGAGGATGGGGCCCTCAAGGGTCTTGTGTGGAGGACAACGGAGCGGAGGCACTGGGGAAACTGCAGCAGCTACCGGGAGATCCGGCGTGTTGCGAGGGAGGTGCATGGTTTTGGCGGATTGCGGGAGACCAAAACAAATTCGGCATCGATTTTGAGATCTCAGAGCTTTAGAGCCGTTACAAGACAATGTCGTTGCCTTTTCTGCAGCAGCCGCCGCTCTTGGCGGGGGGCATCATGTTGTACCGGGAAGTCCGTCCAGAGGGTCCTGCCAGGGTCGTTGCTGTCGTCCTCGTCTCAGCGTCTTGGTCGGCGTACCGGAGGGCGATGACGATGCAGACGCAGAGTGCGGACCTGTGTGCTGTGCGTGTAGGGGGGGCGGGGGGGGAGTAGGGCTTACCCAGAGATGAGATGAGTAGGATGGCTGCGACGGGGGGACATACCCGGCGCTGGCGATGTCGACGTGGTTGTGCGAGGAAGTCAGTATGCTTGTGTGACCCGCCTTGGTGTGTGCGTGTGTTGATCGTCACCATGCTGGTGACGGGGAAGGCCTTGGCGATGAAGGGGACGCCGGTTCGCCTGTACGCCATGCGTCACCCCCCGAAGCTTCACGGGTTGCAACGTCTACAGCAAATACTCATCAAGGCACCTCCGCTGAATAACACACGAAGGTGAAGAGTAGAGATATCAAGTATATTTGATAACACGAGCGCAGTATCGACCCGTGGCACATACAGCAAGGGGGAGGACAGACCACCTGAGCAGTTGTTGACGATCCTGTTATGGTCAAGGGGAAGCACCAGGGGTGGTGAGGCTGCTCACGCACGAGCGAGCATCTCTCGTGCGATCGCTTAGATCTGTAGCCTGCTCCTCCTCGAGGGTCAGCCAATCGTACCCTATCGTCCTTCGGCGGCGGTCACAGCGACATCGCTGGGATGGCGCGGGGGTCTGGTGCTGCGCGCAGTGAAGTGAAGGTATCAGCAGTAGGCAGGATGAGGAGACTAACTTTGAGTGAAAGGACCCTTAGTCAAAGTCAGTCTCAGTGAATGAGCGGACCGGAGGGTGATAAGAGCCGGGGCCCGACTGACTGACCCACAAACTTTCATCTTCCCGCATTTCTCTACGGTCGTA